CTAGAATCTTACTTTTATCATAAGCACTAGAAATCGAGGGAACAAGAGAAATATCTGATTTCTAACTGTTGGAAGATAAGACAATTGGACATTTCATATGAAGAACGAGCAGAGTTGGTCATTGAGCCTGACAGAGAAGTAGGAGCTTCATTTAAATGTCTTCCTGTGTAATTTCTCCTTATCCCTGGCATATTCACCATAGATATGCATTCCAGATCACAGAGTGGTAAATAACGAAAGAAACACCAGCAACCTGCAATAGTGTTTTCATAGTGGGCTGCTCGTAGAAAGAAGATGTCACCAGCTGCCCTGTCCCCACTCCCCATGGCATAGCAGAGGAAAGGGTCACCAGCTAGGGAGAGCAAAACAAAACAAGGGGGAAAAGCCACAGAGGGAAAGGAAGAGTTTCCTGAAAAATTGCACAGTGAATTTCGCTGCAGGTGATTCATGAGTTTTATGACTCAACTAGACAATAAAAGTCTTTTAATAGACAATTCAGCCAAACAGCCTACTTGGTTTTCCCTTCCAGCAGGCCTCTGCTTGAAGCCTTAAGCCTTTTGCTCCTGAGTTAGCATGCTTTTATATGCTGAGAATCACTAGCCTCATTACAGATGTAGTGACTACTGTGGTAAGGAGCATGTCCCCTGCATGCAAATGCTAAGTGGTAAACTAACACCTGATTGTTAAATCCACATGATAGGAATTGTGAACTTTTTTCTCTTGTTCGTCTGGGTTATGTCATCTTTTTTGTTCCTTTTACAAGGAATTTTTTTTGCGCAGAGGTTGTAACAAAAATCATCTCTTCACTATCAAATATTCTTCCGGAGTCAGAAGCTGCTCTTTCTTGACAGGAGAGACTATTTACATGGTTTGTTTTTTTTTCAAGTGTCATGGATAGGGCAGTGGGATAAGCTAACTGAAGCCCTCCCTAGCACGGGCATCCCGTGGCAAGCAGTGCCATCTTTGGTTGCATCTGCTGCAGTGCAAAGAAGTAGCTGTCCCTCAATTCCAGAAGTGCCCTGTGAGAAGATCAGAAATTGTTGTGTTGAAGCCAACACGGTGACCATATTTGGAAAAATCACATGTGTTTAAACCATACTCAAATGCTGTACATGATCAAACCATGAAGACCCTTGCCGTAGCTTCCTTCTTGGGAACTTCTCTTCCTCTCCTCTTTTTCTCTCCTATTCTTCTTCTTGTGGGGAGTTGACTCACTTAACGCTGTGGGACTGGAAGGGACTAGAATAACATCATACTAACAGCCAGGGACAATTTTTTTCCTCTGCTTTCTCATTTGCAGATGAAGTCAGGGGAGATGGCTGCCAACATTGCTCGGGAGCTTGCAGAGCACACAAAAAACCACTTGTACGCTGGTGACATCGCGTACTCTGTGTCCGCCATGGTCCAGCTGGTGAACTTACTTGACGTGCAACTCCGAAACCTGACTCCGGGCGGGAAGGACAGTGCTGCACGCAGCTTAAATAAGGTAAAAACAAAGGGGCTTGGGAAGGGACAGGAGGCTGAAGAAGGGTTTGGCTCTCCCTGGAGAGCTATTATCAATGTCTTTCTGAATGAGTGCGATTTTAGGGCAGTGATTTTTTCGTAGTAGACAAGAGTACCTGACATTTTTTCGTTTACAGTGTATTTTATTCTGCTGAGAAACGAAACAGTTGTAAATGCCAAGTGCACTATTGGTTCTGGGAAATGTATACCCTTAGATGTGTAGATATATGAACTCCAGGTACTTCATTGTGGTCACAGCTGTCATAGCTCTGTATGAGAATAACTCAAGTGATGCCATGGCAATTATTTTGGACTTGTGCCAGTGAATGAGACCAGAATTTTGTCCAGTGTTTCCAGTGCTGAATCTGTCTGTGAAAAGACATGTAATATGATCCAGAAAATCCGAATATTTAAAGCCCCAAGAGACAGAGAGGGTCTAGATTTTGATTTTTTCATCTTGTAACATTACAAGATGATGATGTGAAGGTCGAATGAACATTTTATGCATGAATATAAACAAATACAAGCAGACAGAAACATTTATTTACACTGGAGATACATTTACCAAAGGCACGTAAGATACCATCATATTTATACTTAAGGTCTTCAAGACAGTTTAGTATTAGAGGGCCTTTTTAGTAATGACCCGTGACTTAGCCCAGAAGCCCCTTACCGCATGATGACAGTGTGGTTTCTGTGCCCCCTGTTTGAGAAGAATTGTTAGTCTTTTTGTCATTTCCAGAATGAAGTTGAATTGCTAAATACTAAAGGTGATAGAAGTTACTGGTTGTGGGAGGAAATATGGGCTGTGGAGTCTGTAAGAATACATTTAAAGTTGAGGGTTTCCTTGATCCAAGGCAGTGTTCATCTCTGAATCGCATGTAAACACACGGGATAGGACTTACATAGGATTGAGACAGTGAATTATGTGGGCCTGGTCATCAGAACAAAGAACAGCTGAACCCTGCAGCTATAAGCCCATAGTTATATTTGCCACCCAGTTAAAATAAGACACATAATTTTGTTCTCAGCTGCATAGCTGGATCTGACAGCCAGGTAAGAACAGAATTTGGTCCCAAGGTTATATGGGGAATAAATGATCCCAGCTAAGCCTGAAATTTCTTATGTGTCTTCTGAAGAGAAATACTTTTCAGAGAAGTAACGTTTTCTTTTTTCTTGTAAGTTATTATTGTAGACTTATGCTGTTTTAAATGCAAAGGGCTTCTCGATTGTTTAAGATTACAGCCACATGGGAATTGAAGTCCTGCATCTCATGTGCTTTGCATGTGCTGTGAACTGGGTTATCCTGATGCTTTTAATTAGTGCTGCTTCCAGCTATTTTATAACAATGTAGGTAATAATTGTATTAACTGTTACATCAGCATAACATTATTTGTTATAATCATACCATGGTTCTTTGTTTGAAATGATGGTGATGTCTGACAATATCAGGTAAAACCAACAATTAATGTCACCTACTAACAGGTTTCATGATTGTAGTCTGCTTGCTGTTCTGAATGTGCCCTAGCCACACCCAACATTTTGTCACTTCAGCTTTGCAAGCACAGATTCTTCATCTTTTTATATCCCACCTTCTGATACTTGTTTCAATTACATGAAATGGGGTTGTATCATGGGGGCAGGTATGAGTTATCAAGAGGAGGGGAAAAATGGGCAAGGCAGAGCTCCTCAGCTTGGCTGTCACTCCTGGGGTCCCCCTTGCAGGTTTTCCCCCCACCATCAGCTTTGCACAAGCAGCTCATACAAATCAATTGCGCTCCACATTAAAATTCTGGACTGCATGGAGTCCTGCAAAACAGCGATGCGAGTCAGTGATCCAAATGACAGGCTCGGTAATTTACTTGCTCTCATTCCCCACTTAATTCTTTAGAAGAGCAACTGCTCTGTGTTCATTTAAGAATGCTTGAATTCAACTTGGAAGTAGTATTGGGCAAACAAAAGGCAGCAGAGTTACTGCTCCATTTTCCCCTTCACTGATCAAGAGTATTTCCCAAAAAAAAAGGGAAAAAAGTCATTTGCAAAGAATTTTGTTTAGTGCTGTTTAGTCAGAAAGAAGAAATAAAGTAAGTACTAGCCATTAAATATTCTTTTAATCATTAAAGGAAATGTGCTGGGGATCTGAAAGTAATCACCTGTGCTGTTTTGTACTGGTTTTTTTTTTACAAGCTGATGTACAATGAATTGAAATAAACTGGCATAATCAGAATTTTTAAAAGCCATCATCTTTCAGGAGCCACTTTCCTGTCACTAAAAGCTTTATGCTTTCCACTGGATCAGGCTTAATTAAGGTAATAATTGTTCTATTGCAGACTGGCAAGACACCCGAGTGGATAGCTCTGTAATTTGCAGCAAGGCTTTCTTTGATCTCCATTTGTTTCTGTAAAGTCTTCATACTGGCCAAGTTTACCCAGAGGAAGATTTCTACTGTTACAAATTGATGAATTAGAAATTGAAATTAGGTATTGCTTGATACCTGGGTGTATTTTGTTTATTTCAGAGCCTCAAAACTCTTGGGGACAAATTTGGCTCTGAGCTGTACTAACGGGATTGCACCGCTGTGAGTTTAGAGCACAAGTTACCCTGAATCTCTATTGATGTGCAATTTCCAACTCAGGCACATCAGCAAAAACAAACCCCAACAAGCCAGTGGCTCTGAGCAGCCTGATTTTGTGAGGTTTAGTTGCACCAATGCAGAGCTCACCAATTCTAGCTTACTGCTGCAGACCACCTGCAAAGTCCCAGGGAGGTAAATAAGTGCCTGTTTGAATTTCGTGACACATGGAAGTGCAGTTATCAGGCCGGAGGCATGCAAGTGCATACCAAAGTACCGTCCTAAACGTGGCTTATATGGAAAAGGTGGGATTCTTTGTGGAAAAGCTATTCAGCATATAAAGCATTTAGGCCCAGGAATTAAAAAGGGAAGCACAACTTGGTATGAGAGGATTGGAAAATACATTTCTGGAGAAGCAGTTTAATCCAAAGGGGAGGGAATGGCCTCAACTGGAAATACTACATCAGATTCCCATTTCATTGTTACACACTCTTCAGTGGCCCTTTACACTGTAAGGATCCCTGAGCAGTGCTCTCTCCTCCAGTGCCATGTGTTAGCACACTTGACGTGTGCCTGAGCTGGCCTTAAGCAAGCTCACAGCAGTGAAGCTGAAGTGCTATAGGTTTTGTCTTAAGCCGAAGACCTGAGCAGGTGTATCAGGATGGGTCTGTACAGGTCCATCCTGTATCAGAATGCAGTCCTGTATATATCTTGCTCCCTGGAATTGGTCCTGCTCATCCAAAGCTTGGTTGCACGTCACTGTGCCATCAGCGCTGTCTGACTGCAGAGCCCACTCTCCTTTTATGTAAATAACCATCAGCCCCATCCTTTCCAGCCTTGTTTGATGCGGAAATATCATGTGTGATCTCCAAGCTGTAAGGAGAACATCGTCTCTTGAGCATTTCTGCTTGGCTTCAGTGTCTCCTACCACCTAACACCTGCTCTTGCAAAGTTGCCAGTCTGTGCTTTACTTCACTGAAAAAGGACTAACCCATATTTCTAGAGCCAGTCCTTCCAGCCTTCCACTGCTACCTAGCTCACATGCTTCCTTTGATTTGGTTGGTTTTCAGGAGCTATTTGAGAGAGAAATGAGTTTTTTTTCATAGGCATTTTCTTCATTTTTTTTTCCCTTGTTCTGTCACTAACGTGTTTTTTCTATTCTGTCTTTAATCTGCTGTCTTTATGGACTCAGCTTCAGAAAAGGGAGCGCTCTTGCAGGGCCTATGTCCAGGTATTTCTTGTGTTTTTAATACACATGTCCAGTTGTTTGACTGAATGACTGTGAAGTGGGTCTTGTCTCTGTGAATAATCTGATTATTACCATCTTTGTGGCAGCAAGTTCTATGGTTAAGGTTACAGGATAATAATTTCCTTCTTCATCTCCTCCCACCTGACCAGTTGCTTGCGGACTTGACAAAAATTTGGTGCAAAATATCTGAACCAGAAAGTGGGAAAAGCCGCAGGAGGGATCTGACCAGACTGATGCGACCATCAGAATAAGCAGGACAGTATGGATCTGTGCAAGTAAAGAATGCAAAATTCCTGTTCATGGAGGTGTCTCCAGACCAGATGGGTTCCACTTACGACACATCACTCATATAATTGCCGCCTGTGTTTCCTTAGTTTTATTTCTTCCCCTCTTACACATGCCAATTTAGAAACAATTTGAAATGGCAACACTTGGCATGAGGGAGGAGGTAGGATTGTAATGAAATGCAGGATGTCCTCGCAGAGGGATGTAGGAAGGAGAAGAGTGCTGCAAACTAAATATAGGATTAGGAACATTACATCTCATAAAGTTCACCCAGCTGTGGCCCAACTTTTGTAGGCTTACGTTGGTTTTTATGTGAACAAAGTCAAGCCCCAGCATTTTGGAAAGACTTGCTTGTAGGCTTTTCAAGAGTGAGGCCTCGAGTTATGTTATTTATCCTGTCACCTTGCCTTATAGCATTTGCTCCAGTGACTTTTATATAAACCTGTTTGTATACTGTGGGTGAGTTAATGCTGCTTTAAGAAATGTGAACGTTTTACCTTCTAATTTCTGTCTTGTGCTTATGAACATTGATGTTGTACTTATGGGTGGTTGCTCATTATTTATATGTGTACGTGTAACATGCAGAGGTGTAGAAATTACCTGCATTTTTCTGGAGGGGGCTGTCTATACCTGAATTTTCCTGCAAAATTCTACTTCCTACTGTTGGTATTGACTTTATCTTGTGAGCACATACTTCATTTAGTGTGAGGGATTAGATGGTTTAGATTTCTAGGATGTTAAAAATAAAACAGTACCCCTCTGTGCTGGTAGGATGTCTGTCTTCCCTGTGAATATGGTCATGAGAGAAAGTCAGCATTTCCCTTCCGTATACATTAATGGATAAAGATGAGTTATGGAGTTACACATCCCTTGTCTGGAGTGACTTAACTTAAGATTCCAGAGAAAGTAACTAGGATTTGAAGGAATTTAGGAAAGTTTACAGTGCAACACTAACTCCCAACCTAGCTATCTTGTTTGCTGGTACCACTGGGAACGTGGTGAGGATGCTTTGCCCATGGACCACACAATCCTGTTGGGGACCTTGAGTGCTACTTGACCTTTCCACAAGCTGCATGGATGTACTCTACAGAGTCAATACATTCTCCTGGTCTTTTTGTCTTCTTTTAAACAGTAGTGAATAGCAAGTTTAATATACTCTACAGAAAGCTTGGCATTGATAGAATAAAACCTGAATATTCTCCACAAACTTCAGCTTACCCTTAATTTCAGGGACTTCTTCCCTTTCACTTGGAAAGGCTATTTGTGTGTTTAAACACTAATCATGTGTCTGCCTCTTTAGTAGACAAAAACTGATGAAAACTTATTGCCTAAGCTGTTTAGTATAAATATGGACAAAGCTGGTAAATATATTGAAGAGGACAGTCCTGTCATGGAGGGCCTGAAGGATGAATTAGATGACCTAATTGAACCTTTCCAGCTCTGCTTTGTATTATATGGAGGTAAAGTAATGTATCTGGACGTATTTTGGAAAATCATGTAGCTAAAGTCATCAAAAAATCTTGTGAGGGAGAGTTTGTCTGTAATAGCAATTAAATGTGACTGCAGATATTCCTGTTGCTAGCCACTTATCCTTTACCAGGCAGTGAAATGTCTGGGCTGGCTAAGGCAAATTAGCAGAGATTTTTCAACAAATCTTAAATGATGGAATCCTGGACTTTGTGAAGTCAGCGGGAGATGGGAAGTCACTGGGAAATATGCCACTGATGGCAGAGAAATAGAGTTCTCAACCTTGCTGATGTACTCTCCTTGTGCTGATTCATTTATTGTGAAGAGCATCTATGGCTGAATTTAGCTCACAGGGCTGGAAGTGTACCTTTAGTCCTGTGTTCCCTAGACAAAGGAAAGTGTGGTAAAAGTTTATGTGAGAGATGTCCAGCAATTATAAATACCAAAAGTACAATTGAGAAAAGGGAAGAGGGCAATAACTTGAGAAGATAATAATTGCTGAAATCAGTCTTACTGTTTTCTTTGGGCTGACAAATTTAAGTAGTCATGACAGAGCCCCTGTAGTGATTGGAGTGTAAAGTCCTCTTAAGTCCAAATTAAATTGATAAATATGTAAAACAAATATGGAAATTTTGTGAGTTATTCAAATATGAGACTGGAGATGCCGTATCAGATTATCATCTCATCTGTCTGGGTAACTATATAATTAAAACAAATACTGATTTAATTTGTGCGGTAACCCAATATTTGTTGAGTTAAAAGCTCAGGGATTTTATTTACTGGAGATAGAGGTTACAAATGCTGCTTCTTTGGTTGTAATTGTAGTAAACAATCTTTTTTGTCTCAAAAGTCCAACGATAACTAAAACGACAGGTGGCATGGTAAATACATATTACTATAATGACTGGACAGTTGCTGGGAGATTTTTCAATCATGGTGATATTTAAGAAACTGCCACATAGACTTTAATTCATGATACTAAGAGTCAACTTAGGCTGAGCTGACTGAGGTGGATATCCAAGATGGACAGAGTGAGTGGCCTTGAAAAGGTGCTCTATTGGGTAAGGAGAGCTTGGACCCGATGCGTCGCTTTTTCGAGAGTAGAGATCTACGTCTTTCATGCCTACCTTTCTGCAGTGCACTGTTCTCGCACTCTTATTTTGGGAAAGGGATGGAAAAGTCATTGTGTGGGAGAATGAGTCACAATGGGTGACGCATTTGATTAGCATAAGCTTCATTTGGTGACTGGTGTGTGACGTAAGCCAGTCTGAAATGTCTGTATTTTTTTTCTGAATTTATATTTGTTCATTTTCCAAAGGCGTTTCTCCTTAAACTGAAGCATGGGAGTTGTAGAAAACACAAAATGTTTGTATTTTGGGGGCTGTGAAACTGGGCTTGGTGTCACAGATTTCTTCTGTGCCCATCAGCAAGTGGCATATGCTCATGGTTTCTTAGCTCCCCAACTTAAAGTGCCATGGGTACAATTCCTCTGGCCTCTGGGAACGGAGGTGAGGTAGTAAAGAAAAAAAAAAACTGAGTGCTCAGATACTGCAATAAGAGAGGCCATATTAACACAGAAAACTTAAAAGGGGGAAAAAAATTAGAGAATTTTGCTGTAAGACTTAGTAGCTGGAAACACAAGCTTTAATAAAGGCTTATACCATGTCCAGGTATGTAATCTTTTTCTCTCATACATGCGCCTGATTGCAAAATCTGAGCTCACCTCCTTGCTTTGCTTGGATTTGTGGGCTAGAGCTCTTCAGCATCATGAGGCCAATGAATTTCCTTGCAGTGCCAGCCAGTAGCCTCTTCCCATGTGAAAGTACATGCTGTGGTTGGGATGCAGATGTCAGAAGACAAAAACTTCACAGGGATCCCCTTCTTTTTGTTGTTTTTTTGTTGGTTTTTTCTTAAAGCCAGTCTTGGTGGCTTCAAAGCTGGAGGCGGGTGAATACAACACATACAATACATAGCCTCAGTGGCAGCTTTGTGGGAAGGGTGGAAGGAGGCAGCAGAGCATTGTTTTTGCAGTGTTTTCCTGGTCTAACGGTGTTTGCCACTCTGGCTCCTTCCCTCCAGGCTGTCCTGTAAGTATGCTTGCCCTGTTTTGTAATTCTGGGCTTGTCTGTACAGCAAATTGCAAAGATTATGGAGGTGCCACCCACTCCGTGAAGATCAGAAGAGCTTCTGGGTGCAGGTGTCATCAGAGCCACTGATGAAGCTAGTGCTGAGCTCCTGGCAGGTTCCAGGTAGCAGACAGTGGCAGGTGGCTGCAGTCAAGAGTTATCCTTCTGGTTCTGGAAGTTTTCTAAATGGTTCACGCTTGTAATGTGGGCTGTTTGTGTTGCTATACTAAGCAAAAAATGAAAGGCTTTCCTCAGAGGATTCAAGGCATTAAGTTTAGAGCTGAGTAGAAGAGACTTTTTTTTTTTCTTTGCTAACCTAGTAGCTCTCAGCAGATAAAAGGTGCATCTGGGACTTAATACTATTTAAAGTGGATTCATTCTGTTTGTCCCACTTCTCTCTTGCTTGCATGGCTGGTCCCAACTTCCATAAAGACTGAATGAAAGAAACTTGTAGCTCTGAGAGGGGGAGTAAATTGAATTATGCTGTGTTTACTTGTGTTCTTGTTGTGCCTGTGACAAGAAAAACTCTAACCTCCATTTATATAGAAAGGGGCAAATTAATGAGGATTTTCGAGTTCCTTGTTTGGTCACTTAATTGGCTGTATGACAAAGAGCTCTGCAGTGTGTGTCAAACAACTTTCAGAGTCCTCTAATGATTTGCGCATTGCTCGACTCCTGATGCTATTCTGCCCAGCCTGTCAGGCGAGGTATCGTTGTTAAAGTGGCTGGAATAAATTGGCTAGCAGTGTGCATACAATGCCGTATATTAACTATAGCTACAGGGAATACTTTTAGCAGCTTTTTCAAGAGATCGAGATGTTTACCCATCAGCATCAAAGTGCCCCAAACTTTCATTTAATATAATTAAAAGGACATCTGAAAGAAGTGTGACTCGCAGCAGGGTTCTGCGGTTCAGTAGCCCTTTGTTAAAACTCTGTGAACTTAATATACTTCACAGCTTGAGAAACCTGCACTTGATTTGCGTCAGCAAAAGCGAAACTAGAAATCCCCACCCTGTGTGTTTCTGCTGCAGTAAGCCCGTTGTTAGGGGAGAGGAGGATCAAAGCAGCAGCCTTGGGTTTGTCACCAGACCCCGAAATTCTT